GAGATAAGATAGCAAAAGCCTTCATTCCAAATTTGTTTTTTAGGCTCCGAAAGTCCTCAGAGCTATTTGCGGGAATGAAACCGTCCTCTCCGCGAGGGCTCAGGCATCTGTGAGAAAAAAAAAACACCTAAATGTGCTGATTGCCCTGCGATCCACCTTACTGGTGTATAGGAGATATCAATAACAATGGAGATGTTGCATGTGCGAGGAATTTGCGATTTGACCATAGATTCTGATGTAAAAGTTCGCGAGAAACACGATGGTGCCACTGGTTTTCTCTGAAATCAACTCCCAAGCTCAAAAAAAGCTCTCAAGTCGAGGCCAAAATGGAGGGGATATCCCACGCTATCCTGAGAGTCCACCTCTACATCAAGACAAACTCTTCATGCAAAGATAGGGTGCAAATTTCAACAAAATGTTTCAAAAAAATTTTGCACCGTCGAAATATAGTTACGTTCTTTCGCCGGGGAACCGACGATTCGAAGCCATTTTTCTCCTCAAAGTGGCCAGCTCTCGAGCATCGTAAGGGAGAGGAGGTAAATTGAAAAATAAATTCATTTCCATCGGTATGTATTTCTCAATCCGGGCGCTTCGGTAACTGATGCGAATAATTCGTGGGCTAGACTCCGACGGACCCTCCCCCCCCCCCTCCCCGCGCCGGGGGAAGGGGAGCCTCGGTGCAATCTGAATGAAACGGTTCTCGTGTTAGGTGTTGCACTCGCGGGACTCGTATGGAAGTGACGACGCGACGGCGTGAGGGGAGGGGGGGGGGTAAATTTGCATTCGAGTTCATTCATTGCTTTTACAGGATTAAATAACTACACACGTAACGGGGAGCTCCTACCGCTTCCTTTCCGTGTCAACTGCCACTCTCGCGTGCGGTGATAATGGCGTCTGTTACTTTTCTTCGAGGACTCGAACTGCTCGCCAGCTAGTTTCCGCTGCTAGTTTTTCAGACGGAAGAGCGTCACGGGCAGAACTAGCCCCCCGCCTTCCCCCTAGAAATCTACTTGGCCCCTCCTAGGAAACGTGAGGCAGTTTTCTACTTAAATGCGTGGCAGTTTTCTATTTAAATGCGTGGCATATTTTTCATCTTGGAAACGGGTTACTAAACCATAAAAAACAAAATCTATGATAAGGAATCATATCTTTATCATATCTTTGACAAGAATCTATCATTAATCATAAAGAAATCTACTTGGCCCCTCTTAAGAAATGTGAGGCAGTTGTTTATTTAAATGCGTGGTATATTTTTCATCTTGGAAACGGGTTACTAAACCATAAATAAACAAACTTTGCGCATATATTTTTCCAAAGGTTAATGACGCGTAGAATAAGATGCGCATTAAAAATGCAAAGGAGTGACTCAGAACCTGAGGAATGCGCAGTTTTAAAAGCGCAATTTTTCCGCAAATTGAAAATATCATAAAAAAATAAAATTGGTAAATATAAAGGACTCGTCAAATTAGTAAAACAAAAACATGAATTGAAAAATGCTGCAAAAAATGTCAAAATCATGAGTTGAAGAACGCTGACTCCGTGAGTTTGAGTATTACTGCCAAACACAGTGCGGCTAGCGCGAGCTGCGTATCAGCGCCTACAAGACTGCAGGAATACTTCAAGCATTGCGCGTAGACGCATGCTATGCGTGAAGTATCCCTGTTCGTGTATTAAATTCTATGTGCGATGCGTGAAGTATCTTTGCAGTCTTGTAGGCGCCAATACGCGTGTTGCGCTGGCCGCACGCCGCGCCGCACCACGATTTGCTCGAATATTAAATCTCATGGAGTCAGCGTTTTTCATCGCAAGATTTTGGAACGTCTGCTTTATCTGTATGGATTATTGTCGTCCTAATGGGTCGTTAAACCATAGACAAATTTTAAACTCGCGCATACAGTTTTCCAAAGGTTAATGTCGCGTGAAATACGATGCGCACATTAAGAATGCAAAGAATTAACTCAGAATCCGAGGAAAATGCAATTCAAAAAGCGGAATTTTTACGCAACTTTAAAACTCCCCGTTAACGCGCCGAACCGAATGATGTCATTCGGCACCAGTCATAAGCAAGCGTGGGTTTCTAAGACTTCCGTTAAACGGCTTTCTACTCCTCGTAACACTCGCGAAAACAACAGAAGACCGAAACTAAATTTTCAGAATCAAAGATTCGAATCTCATGCATGTTATCTATAGTCAACAAGTAACGATTCCACAGTGAAATGAAAACATGCTGGCCGTGTTGCGCTGGCCTGAAATTTCTCTGTATAAAAATAAAAAGGCGGCGGAAATTTCGAAACGTCGCATGGGGTTCGTGGAACTTCGGCCGGAAGGTGACGAAACGTGGCAACTTTCAGATGTTCATACGGCGTTACTCCTGCTTAACACGGCAGCACAGCTCGACAAACGGCGATCAAGACCGGTCAATGCGCGAAGAATAAACATATTTCCCGGATGTATAAGGATCCGCGGCTCGCAGTGTAAATATCGGTCCGATCCACAGAACGCGGCCCGCGGGGCGGGGGCGGGAAAAATCTCCACCGCCAGGGCTTTCACGGAGCTGCACCGACCGGAGGTGGGGGGAGGGGGAGGGAGGGATAGTGAATAACCTTAGCGCTAACTCTCAAGTGCGTTTCACTCCTAGAGAGCGTAAAGCGACCACTTCAATCAACGTACACACACAAGTTCCGCACCATTAGTGAGTGCCTCCCCCCAGCCCTCGCCCCCGCTGCCGGAACTTTTTATCCCTTTCACAAGTTTCCGAGTTGCTCGCGCCCTGCGGCGGGAGGGCGCCCTCACCCCCCGCTACGGTCGGGGAAGGGGGAGGGGGGAATCGACACGCGTCTCGGTGATAATAGCCTATTTTTCTCGCGCTATTTTTTGTGTGTTTCGCGTGTGTTTACTTTGCGCGTCGGTCGTGTTCCGCCGTGCTGAGGAAGAACGCCGTATGAACACTCGAGCGTTGCCAAATTTCATTCGATAAAATGTTTATTATTGAGGGAATTTATGAATGTTTTTCCTTGAAATTTTCAGGGGCTTTAGTTGAAATTGCGAGGAAAATTATCCGAAATATCAGATGAAAAACATTCATAAGTGTAGCAGGAATTTTGTGTTTTATCAAATGAAATTTGGCAGCGCCTGAAGATTCATACGGTGTTTTTCCTTTGCACGGCAGTATTGTCTTGGATCCGTTTCTTTGTTTCTTAATCATGCCGAGTGACTCTCTCGTGAGCTCGAGCTCGCTGATCGAGCTCGATTGTTGCCCGATTAATTGTTGCGTTGTTGCTCGGAACGCACAGTGGATCTAGTCAACGGGAAAGGTTAGACAAAATTTGGAGATTTTAAAAGCTTACACTCCGTCCATACAAAATGATGTGGTTCTATTGGTTTGCTCGTGAAATTGTTTTAGAAGCACCCATTAAAATTTACAATGTGGCGAATGGAGACGTTGCAATGCATGTGTGAAGGAATTTGCGATTTGACCGTTGATTCTTATGTAAAAGTTTGCGAGAAACACGATGGTGCCACTGGTTTTCTCTGAAATCAACTCCCGAGCTCAAAAAAGCTCTCAAGTTGAGGCCAAAATGGAGGGGATATCCCACGCTATCCTGAGAGCCCACCTCTACATCAAGACAAACTCTCCATGCAAAGATAGGGAGCAAATACATTAGCAGGGTTGCCGTGTTTTCAGTTTTGGAGTCCCCAAATAAAGTGGCAGCCCTGTCAATGTAATTACTCCCTATCTTTGCATGGAGAGTTTGTCTTGATGTAGAGGTGGACTCTCAGGGTAGCGTGGGATATCCCCTCCATTTTGGCCTCAACTTGAGAGCTTTTTTTCAGCTTGGGAGTTAATTTTAGAGAAAACCAGTGGCACCATCGTGTTTCTTGCGAACTTTTGCACGAGAATCAACAGTCAAATCGCAAATTCCTTACACACATGCAACATCTCCATTGTTTTAGAAGTATCCATTAAAATTTACAATGTGGCGAATCGAACATCAAAATCTACAGTTTTAGTTGAAAACTTCATGTCCAACCTCTGTGATTGACTCGATCCACTGTGAGACGTGAAGGAACGACTCTCCTTCGGCACCCTGGCAATGTTACAATGCAAAAGCGCCGTAAGTCTGTTCCACACTGTCAAAAATCGAGGAGTGAAATTAGGCGCCGGAGTACCTTTTGTAGGAGAAATCGAATCAATCAAATCAGTCTGAGTCTATAAAATCTACTGCTATATCAGTTGGAACGTAACTCTCTGATGCTGGTTAAAATTCTAGTCATGTCAGTAGAATCCATCCACTTGTTTTTGGCCACTCTGTATGAGTATAGGTTCTAGCCTATATCAGGACAGACTTAGAATCTGCAATGCCTGATATCTCTGAAACTAATCACCTCATATGGTATGTGGATGCGTTCCCTGATCAGAAACATCGCGCCCGGGGAACGGAACATTGTACCGATATGAGACCTACTTATCATTTTTAGGGGAGCGTTTACATAATTGAGGATCAAAAAGAGGCAATGAATGAGCTATTTGCACTGGTAACAGAATCGTGTTTTGTTGCTTGATGCTTGTAGAGTAGCTAAAAATAAGAAGATTTGTTCAAACAGCAACTTTCTACGTTGAATATTAGCCGGGATATTGTCTTTCGAAAATTCGGGTTTCTGACGTCATCCACCGCGGTAGTGAATAACATGGTATGTTCTATCAAGGTGGATGACGTCATAAATCGAGTTTTTCAAGGCGCAACGGATCTTATAATTTTTATTTGATCTGCAAAAAGAACCAAAACGCGGTTCTGTGACCAGCGCAACTGACCCATTAAGGCAAAAATTGCTGAAGTATTTTAAAATCAGTGTGCGAAAGTGATCACACTCAAAACCAGAGCAGATGTGTCCCAACACTCTAAATTTTCAAAGGAAGCTAGTTCGGGTCAAAAGGAATGAGTTAAAATAATTTTGTTACCAGGTGATTTAATTTATCCAAAAATTCAGGAACGAAAATGAAAACCGGTCAAAAAATAATGGTTTATAATGATTGATCACACGGACAAGCAATGAGACCCGCTCTCATCTCCGAGCAGATATTATCTTAAGTTAAATAGTATTCTTAGCAGCGTGTGCTCATTTATTCAAGTACGAAGTTTTGCATACTCAAACCCAATTCCCTGATGTAGTATTCAACAGGATGGTTTCGGGCCCAACAATAGTAATATAGTCTCTAATTAATCTGTGTAACATCAGAATGTACAAAATGTATTCGAATAATAAATGTCTGATGTACGTTTCGTGCACTTGTACACTCCACAACTAGAGTGCATCACCAACTAGCAAACATGTACACTCCATAACTAAAGTGCGCCACCAACTAGCAAACATGTACACTTCACATGCGCTACTTACCAACTAGGAAAAGGAAAAATTAGTTTACGAAATTGTGTAAGCATTTAAAAAAATGTTTATTATTTTGTAAATATTTCAATAACATCGAAAATACATCGTAAATATTTACGATGTACTTACGAAATGTTGTTGGCATTATAAAAGTGCTCTCATAACTATATGTTTTAAATATGTTTGCAAAGTTTCAAAAATAATAAAACAATATTACCGTAAACTTTTTTTCAATATTTCTGAAACGTTTCAGAAACATGCCCTGATTTGACGAAATTGTTCAACTTCGATCCGCAATTTGTTTGTCTCACCGGTCTTTTTTTTTTACTACAGACCCTAATTTTGTGTTTAGGGCACCACCATTTTCATCCTAGCCTTAAGCTCTAATCTTATGTTATGTATTATAATGTGAATAATCTAAATCCTGTACAATTTCGTGTTATTAGAGCCAGTCCGCTATATTTTAAACTGAAGAATGCGCTTTCTCGTCTGGTGTTCACAGTGCAACCATTCACAGGTTATTTCTCCCCCACATTTCACTTTCAAATGCCTGCTTGACCTCACGTTGACCCCACCATTCCGTTTAAAACTCTGTTTCCCTTCTTTAAAAATTGAAATTTTCAAATCCGTCGTCTTTTCTAATGGACGTTCCCTGCCATTTTCCGCGTTACTGAGCCTTACTCTCATAAGATTAATAAAGATAGTCCTATTAACCCCCGACTTAACCCGTCGAATTCAACCCGGGAATTTCTCCGTGGAATGAACACAACTCGATTGTTAAGAACGCTCGACTGTGCAAGCCATGAGACGTGTGATAGAGCTATATGAGAGTAATCGCAAAGTTCCCTACAATAAGCGTAACATGCTATGCCTAACTGGCATCGATGTTAAAAACGCTTTTAACAGCCTGCGGTGGGTTGACATTATCTCTGAGCTTAAAAAACAGAACGTACCCGATTATCTTTTTTTAAAAATCGTACTAAACCTTATCTATTATTTCCTTATTCCAGAAGCCCCCCCCCCACCAAAAAAAAAAAAAAAAAAAAAAAAATGCACACTTCTATCTTCAAGCCTATGTCGTATATTTTCATCCGGGAAAAATCGGAATAAAATAGTTAGGAATCCCAGAATCTTTGGTCTCGTAAGACTGGCAGCACCACACGGAAAAAAATGAAATTGCGGATTTAACGATTTTGTAGCTAAAAAAAGTTTCCAACATGATCCAATGTACATTTTACAATTAAAGAATGCTAATTTAACCGCCTTTGTGGTTATATTAGCTTTCCACTATTGTAAAAGGTACATTTGAAACATGTCTGACATATTTTTCAACAATTGAATTGTTAAATCAGAAATCCATTTTTTCCCGTGTAGTTTTCCGAGATTAAAATAGGACTAGGAGTCGATCATCTCATCGTGGAAAGGAGGAACTTGATTTCTCTGCAATATGCAAACAACTATTAACCAAATCAGCAACTACTTGGCAGCTCAATTCAATTGTAAAGCCTATCACGTTGACCTTCACTTGAACACTGCAATGGTCAAAGGGTCACGGTGGGCGAACGGAACAATTTTATCCAACTGCTCCTGCAATAACTCTCTGACATTGTAACCGTTGTAGTATAAATCGCAAGAATGTGTTGGCGAAGGTGTTTTGTTACTTGTGACATCCATGATTAATTCTTTGTCATAAACAAACCCAAGGAAGTAGGTTTTCACAGTCTTTAGTCTCCATGCGGGGTCTTCTCTAACGCCGGCTAGCGAAAATTTCGTGGCCATAACTTTTTGTGTCATGAATCTAAAAAGGATGTAAACATATGGGTTACCAATGGTGAAATTGCAGTAATTGAAAAATTTTAACTTATGGCTAACACGTCAAATTTAGAAAAAAAACTATTTAAATGAGGTAAATGCTAATTGCATAGCTGTAAAAAAAACTAACGAGTATGCTCCATTTAGAAATGAATTGCATTTACCAAAAAAAAAATCAAAAGTATTGCACTGTTGCTGAGACTGTGCAACTTTTATCATTTGAAAGAAAAGTACTGAAATTATGCAAATAATGAAACGAACTTGGTAATTATTGTCTTAAATTTATCAGTTTCTAGGTTGTAAAACAGAAATTTCTCATAGATGATCAGGTTTTTCTTCAAAATAAACAAGAGGAGTTGCCCAATCTTTGCAACGTTACAATGCTCTTGGTTCCTTTTTGCAAAATGCAATTCTAAACATATCCGCATTTTTTTCACTACAAAGATACTTTTAAGAGAGAGGAACCACTAAATTACGGTCCGAGTACTGCAAGTAAGAGGATTATGGAACAGTGAATGTGTCCAAATAATTCTGGGGGAAGAGCGACAGCGAGATAAAACAATATAGTAGAAGTAGAGTTGAGAAGAAAGACCTTCTAACATATTTCAGTGAAAAACTGAAAGAGGTGGAAGTTTTGTTCTCAGTTTTGATCTCCCTTTGGATTTAGTACTGTTTAATTACGATAAGCTCTTTGACCCCTAAATTTTCATTTTTCGTCACATCAGCATAAGTAGGAGAGCATTGTAAGTTCATGCCTCGCACCATCGCGCCTTCAATTTTGCAGATGCAACACGGACATCCATCAAGCACGAATAGTTGTATATCAGCGCCGTCATCCACGCGCGTCCTTTTTCTTGCTCTGTTTTGTTGTTGTGATGCTTTTGTGTGTTTTATTTGTGGTGGCTCTTCAAGGGTTGCTTAAACAACACATCCGATGGTAGGAGAGATGCAATCGGGCCTCGTTTTGGCGCGTATACGTAGTATACCGCCTTTGCGATCGTTTCGACCCCCCCCCTCGATACAATAACCGAGTCCCCTAGTTCCTTACCGAAAAGTGACTACCGCGAACTTCTGAGATTTTCCAAAGCGTGTAAAAAGTTTACTAATCCGTCAATAATAATGATTAAAATTTGTTTCTCATTCTGGGGCTCGCTAGTTTATGTGTAATGAATACCAAGAGTCTACGTTTCTTGGTTTTTTTTAAAAAAACCTTAGAATGGGGCGCGCTGATTTAAAATATGCATATATAAGCGGAAGCAAGCGAACTGATTCGAGGATGGCTGACCAGTTCGGCACTCCTTGAATGAGAATTTCACTCACTCCGTTTTGTTCACAACGTTGCTTTGACATATCTCCACAACACTGTTATCCTTTTCAAAAGTTGGTACTCCTTGCTCTGATAGCCGGGGCCACCAGGATAGTGGTAAGTGCAATCTGTGATGAGCCTCGAGACTCATTAGACCATTTGCTAAACGTGGCTCATACAGGAGTCCACTAAGCCCTCTCGTCCCCACGCTCCTGATCACTGCGTCGGCGTCACGAAGAACAATGGGCCTTGGGTCCCAACGCGGCCGATACCCGTACCCCAATTACTCACGCTTCATTAACCATTTCACCGTCACGCTAGGATTCATCCAATTTTCAAAAAAAATTGTTTCGCATGTATTTAGCAATTTTTTCCTTACTCTCCGTTAAAACACAAATAAAAAGAGACCTCATTCATAAAAATCGGCCGAATAGAAGAGAAGTTACAGTAATCGAAATCCGAAGAAATCAACAAAACCTCGACTCCTCGATACGAAAAATAAAATGAAGGGGAAAAAAAGAAAGTATAAATTACAATTAAATATAATTGACCTCAAAATTTGACAAACAATTCATTTATATACCTAACGCTGAAAAAACTGGGAGAAATTACAAAAAATTTGCCTCTTGCAAGGGGCTTCTTTGTAAGAATTTTGACCTGAAGACAACGGTCGAATAACAGCAGTACTCCATACAATACACGGTGTGCCTGAACGAGTTAAACATTTTTCATACGTCCAAATCGAAAAATCTTTATATTTTTAACTACAATGTTTCTTGAATCGTTTAAGCAAAAAAAAAAAAAAAAAAAATTCCGTCGAGATTCTGGAACGCAAAGGCGCTTTAAAAGTATTCTGGGGCTATAATAGCTAAATCACCGGTAGTAAATTCGTTATATTATTAAAAAGAAATTGACTCCATAGTTTAATTCCTTAGTTTCTTGAATACGATTATTTTAAGCACTTAAACATTTATACCACCAATTTTAGCCATGGGGTGATTTCCTGAGAGCCGATAATATCACGAATTTCTCATAGAACCCCTCAACAGTGGCTTGCTTTTTTGGCAGCCGATTCGGCCATCGAACCGGAGTTTAAATGGAAGCTGATAATAACCCAAAGCTCTGAGAAAAATTTTGAGATGAGTATAAGAACGGTTTGTTGTAAGTAGCGAGGAGAGGCGGGCAAAGCGGCTAAAATCCTATCTAATTTTTACAGTTTTTCTGTTGAATTAATGTTGCCGCGGGCTTCTGACTGTCCACACATAGTTCTGTTCAGCATATCGATACATAAGTATTTACATTTTACATACGTAGAATCTAATTTTCACGTCGGGGAGTTGACATATTTTGATTTTTTCGATTTTATACGGAAAATTGATGGTTTTTCGGGATTGAAATTATTATTGTTTCATGAAAAATAAATGCACCCAAAATGACTATAGCATATTGATTCTTACACATTTGCACTCACAAAATTGGTTGGTAAATTCAACGAGTGGGTGCATCGACCTGGTATATCAAGTTTCTGCAATTTTTTACGGCAAATCAGTAGATTTTCGGGATGTAGATTGCTTACTTTCAATTCATGAATGAATAAAGCAACGACATGGTTGAACTTCTTTGCATGGAAAGACGTTTAAAATAACAAAATCAAGACGTATTTAATGCAATTGCATTTATATCGAGTCAATTTCTTTTCAATAATATAACGGGATTTTTACTACCGGTGATTTGGGTATTTTAGCCCCAAAATACCTTTAAATCGACTTTATCTTCTAGGAGTTCGACAGAATTTTTCCTTTCTTCGCTTAAATTATTCCGTAGCACTTTTCTTCAAGAATCTGATAAGATTTTGCTTGAGGCAGATCAAAAAACTTAAATTCGATCGAATAGCTTTCTACTTTCACAATACACGGTCTCGTCAAGGTGCGTCTTTGACCTCGCAGTGTTGGATCGTGAATTCTCTTTTTATGCTGTTTGCCTATTTTGAAATCTCTGTAAATGAAAACTAAAGGGGTTGATATGTGCGAGTTAATGACGCGCCTTATCAACACATTGTGTTGGAGTTCACTGCTTGTTTTAACTTTGTGAAATAAAATTAATTCTGAAAACCTACTAAATAATTGTACTTGAAGTATCAGCGATACCCAAGCGACGACGTCTCGCTGTCACACTGAAAAAAACTAAATGTATATGTTTTTTTAGTTTAGACCAGAGTCCCTTTATAGGGAAGGATGAGACAGCACGGCTCATGGATGTCACAGTTGGGAATAAAGATTGCTCAAATTGAACGTTTTCTGTAATCTTTGATCAACTCATTCCCGAATTCATGTCTCCGTTCCTTCTCTCATTCTGTTAGTTCCTTGCCGTGCCCCAAATTTCCCGGTCTATTCTGGTGTATTACCTTTGCAAGTGGTGAACATGTAATATTTATTCCGTTTGTGACACTGTGGAGGGCTAAAATACGGGAACCGATCAGAAATAGATTTGTACTAGGGGGCCATGCCCCCTGGCCGTTACGAGGCCCAACCCCCGGAGGGCGCTTCGCGCTGTATTAGGCCCGCTTTGACAAAAGAACGACCAAAAAATGAAAGATTTTCATACTTGACTCTCATTTGACCAATCTCCCTCTGGCCGGGAGCAATTGAACCAATCAGAATTAAATAAAAAAATCGGCATTTATTTCAAACTTCTCGCAAAAACTGAAACGAAACGGATCAAAGCGTTCTATCGCTTTTGGATAGTCTGTGCCAAAGGAGCATACCTTCTATTCACCTACCTTACCGTACCAACAGACCAAGATTCTGCATTTCCCGCTTATTTCAATTTTCCGCTAAATTTAAAATTCTCACCATTTTTTATAGGCGGGAATTTCAAATTTTGCCCCCTTTTAAGCTTTCTGGTCTTCTTTTATATGAAAAAACCTAGGTCCTATTTACAAAACCTGATTAAAGCGAGCTCATCTAGGACTTATCACATTTCGATAACCGTAAAAATCATGGAAATTGGCTTTGTAGAACGCTCAAACGAACTATGACAAAAAATATAAATTTACATTGTTTAAAATGGAGCGATTCGCAACTTTACCATGTCATATAAAAAAAAACGTGGGTCATATTTTGAAAATCTGAACAAAATAAGCTCATCTCGAGACAATTGTCCGTCGATTGCCGCAAAAATCATGAAAATCGGCCCGGTAGAGCGCTGGAACTAAGCGTTACCAGTTATGCAAAATTATAGGAGGCCTTGGAGCTTATAGTATAGAAGATCTCTTTACTCTCAGTGTAAAGGGACTCTAATTTAGACGAGATATCGACACATAAAGAAAGTTCAATGACTTACTCGGTTGGAATCTTGAAAATGTCCGAAGGAGATAAACACTCCGAGTGTCCAAAATCCACATAATAGACTTTAACCTGATTCTCTGCCACATCCATTACAACGGCTCGATATATAACTCGGTCCGAGGGGGAGTTTGCAAGGCACGGTGCGCCAGGCATCAAAATGCCCTCAATTGGCTCAGGTTTGTAGCTTCCATTTATTTCATTCATCAAGTCAGGGAGCGAATTCTCAGCATCAGCCTGAAGAAAATAATTGATTGGTGTAGACATAGAACTTCCTCGTAAATGCAACTAAATGAATGATCTCAACGGCAGATTGGGCTGCTAATTTGAAAGTCTGGTGCCGATTCCAATTCCAAAGATTTGGGAATTTCGGTTCATAGATACAAATTTTTACGGAGTAGCCAGAGACAATACTAACATGTAAAAAACAGGAATTGGGGACGGAAAATATAGCACTAAAAACTCGTGACGTTTCTACTCAAAACTGAGTCATTTTCAGTTGGCAAATGACTAAGAAATATCGATGAAAATACCTGAGACCTACACGTTGGTGGCCAAGATTCGAGGAAAAAAACCCAATTTGGTTGGTCGGAATTTTTATTCTCGTTCAAAAACATTGGCACTACCGAAAGTCAAAATGTCTCTGAGCAGTATATACAGACGATACAATTCTAGTTATCTGTCAAAAAATAGAACACGAGAAAAAGTCGATCTCGGTTAAATCCGTCGAATTTACCCATTTTAAATTGCTTGAAAACAGCTGCAAAAAAATCACCTTTAAATGGACAGCGAAAGCAAACACTCCATCCTCCACGTGTGAAATATACACGGTGTGCCTAGAGCCGGGTGTAAATTTAACTGTAATAAATTGCTTAACGGTGATGTCTGGAGTGGGATTCCGTAAGATGGGGGGCGTGGAAGGAGCAGCAGGTACAGGAACACTGACGATGCCACTAGATGAGCCAATCATATCGGTTGATATTGGTGTCATCGATTGTGTAATTCTCGTAATTACACCCGGAGCATTCACAGTTGCATCGGTTTTAATCACCGATTTCGGAGGAGCCAGACGTTGTTCTTGGCCGTTAGGTCGAGTCAAAGATTGAATGAAAGCCGTTTGTGTTTGAACAGTGATGTAGTTTGCAACACCTCTTGAGAGTAGAATAGTTGAGAGGGTGGTTGGCGGGTTTATCGCAACAAAAATCTGAATCAAGTTCTTTAGTATCTCTCCGTCTAAAATATTACATTTGAAACATTTGCAAGCCAAGATTTGCCTGATGAAGTCCATCACTTGAGGAGGCCAACCATTGCCGGGTGCTTGAACCTCAGCAACGTAGAAAAGAGACGCCAAGAATGGAATTCCGGTGATGAAAGGATTCATAGCTTGGTGTGTATCTATTAGTCTTAAACTCTGGAGACGGACTTCAATAATATTACCATAGTCCACCAGAAACACAGGGATGGTTTGTTGCTCTAGTTTTTGGAGCGACAGGATTTTCACCCGGAAATATTCGTCGTTTCTCAGTTTCAATAGACAGAGTTTTCCGTTAGAGAGCTGTTCGATAGGATTTGTGATGACATTTGTTTCTAAAAGGTTAGAGACCTTTTTGATGTTCCTTTCCAATTTTTCGCAATTTGTCATGTCGCACTGCGCCCACACTTGAAGGAGGCCACCAAAGGCCTCGACATGTGTGATGTACAAGTCTTTGATCATTTTTTAGCCTATTGTTCCAGGGATGATGAGGTTCACTGAGTGTGCTGGAAAATTTTCTGTGAAAATAAAGAGGAAATAAGTGTCTGATTGAACAAAGAAAGTGCGTGACCGCCTGATCGCCCTGTGGTCACTTTTTAGCCAATGAGACATCCGAAAACAACTTTTGAGTTCCCTATGGAAAATAACATGAGAGATCGATCGCCTATATTATTTTTCGAATTCAGTTGATTTTTCGGGAAAAGTATGTCCATGGCTGACTTTTCTAGGATATGGCGTTTCTATTGATGTATAATATGTACCCCTTCTTCTAAAAAATACCAAAGATCCTGATTTAAAAAAAAAATTCAATTTTTGTTTTTGCACTTGGGTCGATATTTCGTCACCTGCCTCCGGCCAAAGTATCACAAGCGGTATGCGGCGTTCCAAAATTTCCGCCGCCATTTTACTTTTTCACAAAGAAATTGTTGGCTGAATCTATTTAAAAATTTCACTGAATCCCATCGGCAGCACAAAGAAAATTCGGTGAAATTTTCGGACAGCTTCGTTGAAGAATTTCTCTGTAAAAAATTAAAATGGCGGCCGAAATTTTGGAAACGTCGCATAGCGTTTGCGATACTTTGGTTAGAAAGTGACGATTTGTGACTGTCCCGCTGACTCAAGTGGAATATCATTGAGATTTCAGAGTCAAGATCTTCGGTTTTTTCTAAAGAAAGTCGAATCTATTATGGTAACGCAAAATCCAAAAAAAGTCAGTCACGTACATTTTCCCCCTAAAAACTGGTAGAATTCGACATTAAAAAAAAAAATTATTTCAATTTTCCCTGTTATTTTTCATGAGGATTTCAAAAGTGGTCTTCAGGTGTCTGATTGGCTGAAAAGCAAACGCGGGAAGATCAGACGGCCACGCACTTTCTCTATTCAATACGGAATCTCATTTCCTCTTCGTGTGAAGTATGGACTTTTACGAAGCGAAGAATAAAGTTCAAAGTTCAGGAATCACACTACACTTCCTCGACCAGGCGGAGGCAACTTCACGCGTCGCGGACTACATGTTTAATAACGGATTGATATCAACAGTAAGTGCAAGTGCAAGATTATCAACGGACATCATAAAGTTGAAAAAAAGGAGATATAAAGGCTTTACGCGTGACTAGATGACTGACCATTACGTCACGCGTAAAGCTTTAGATCCGAATTTTTGATAAAAATAATATTATCATTAGTGATAAGAGGTCTATAAACCGGGAGAAAAAGGAGAATCCGTTGACCAGGCTTAAGTGTCAGATTTAAAGAGTTGGGAGAAGGCGGTACCCGACAAAATTATGTATTTTCGTTCAAAATTTCACGAACATGTATACGTAAGTTATACGAGGGGTAAAACGGTCGTTTGCCTGGGGGTTTTTGGTCATTTTTCTTGTTTCACTACAATTTGTAATAAATTGGTGACGGAGTTAGATAAACTGGACCGCGTGAAGCAAAAAGGAACCAAGCCACATCAACTATTGTCAAATTTAAGTAGACAATTCAATTTTCGCATGAAAACGGTTGTGCGGATTGCTGAGTAAATTGCTGTGAATTTTCTGCACAGTACGAGGCGAATTTCTTAAAATGATCAAAGGAATCCTCACAAACGCTCTCTTGTAAAGAGTTAAGGCGCTTCGTTAAAGGCAATAGCGGATATGCTCTGCTAGCCGCGGTTCAAATATGCCTTAAGGTGGAAACTTAAAAAAAGCTCAATACAGTGAATAGCCCCGATACCAGTCAATTCACGCACGTTAGTGCGCCTTCAATTTCGGCTGATACTGTGCAATACATTCGTGGTGGAATAGTTGCTTCGAGCGCCTTCAACGGTATTGTTCAAGAGTAAATGACAGAAGATCGCTGATATTACGCTCTAGCACTTGCACAGTCCCACGTTTTCTCATCACTGACGGCGAGGTAAAAAACATCCATACCTCAATTTCCGACGTTGCAATTTTTGCCGCCTTTTTTGTGCGAGTAAACAAATATGGACACTTAAGAATCCGTCGTTATTTTTCTAAGATATGACGAAACATTTCCTTTTACTGTATCATTCAAGCTTATGGGTATACTTTTCTTAAAAATGGGGGGGGGGAGGGGCAAATATGAGTGGGAACCCTCGACCGGACAAAAGCGGATCCAAAATTGTATATCTTTTCAAGTGAACGGGCTCGAAAAGTTGATGATGCGCTGAAACATACTGACTAACAATCGTAGTCATTTTCAGATCTTTTTCGTGCTTTTGCATCTGATATGCTAATAGTACAAACTTTGATTACATTCTTCCGAATGATCAAATGAAAAAATAAAACAGAACGAAATAGATTGAACCCAAATAGTTGAGGAACGCGCCGATATCGAGGTCTAATGCAGCTGAGAGTGCATCCACTGGAAAAAAACACATTGGATCTAGAGTCTAGATTCTTGAAAACGTTGACAAGAAAAAGTACTCTTGATTCAATCGGATTTTTGCTTAAATTAAAACGAAATCCGCTTAAATTACGAGGCTTGGTTCTTGATTTAAGCTAGATTCTGATTGAATCAAGAGTTTTTTTTCTTGTCGATGTTTTTAAGAGTCTGGAATCTAGATCCAATGTGTTTTTTTTTTGTTTTTTTTTCCAGTGTCGAATTTAAGACTAAACATAAAAAGAATAAATATATCGATGGGGCAAAGTTGGAATTTTTCGAAGGTGCCAAGATAGCATATTAGCCCACTCCGCCATCTTGGATTCTTGAAAATTCGACTGAAAATTCGATTTTTACGTTACACGTTACTCCAATCCTCAGAATCGTCCCAGTATAATGGAAGAACAAACTTTGACAAAAAACGAAAATCTTGGGAGTAAAAAAGCTCGGTGTAATATGATCGTAATGATTCAAGGTTCTACGGCATCTGTTATCTCGATTCTGGCTGAGACTCCCAAGAAATCCGTAGAAAACTCTCTTCTCAAAAGCAAATATTCACTCACGAAGTCAGGTAAGCTCCGAAACAACAGCAGCCCTCGGGATGGAATCTTAGCTCTAAGTCAAGAGCGCACCTATGTTTCTCTCGGAATTTCACAGCTACCAGCACTAACGCCTCCCAACGGCGTCGCCCCTCGTCATCACCTATCGATATTTTCCCATTTGAAGCCATGGTAAAGAATCGATTATTCAGGTATACCCTGATAATCGATCCTTTTCCATAGATTCAATGGCAGATATATCGATTCATCGTTAAGCACGACCCGCCGCTAACGTCTCCTCGGCCGGGTATCAGTAACACGATCATTACTGCGAGCGATCAACGAGATACCCCCAGGAAGAAACTGAGAGGCCGCGACTTCCCGGAAAACTCTCCGATTTCCCGCGGAAAAACTGCGAATTCCACCCGAGAAACGACAATCTCAGACGCGAAAGCGTCATAACCCGTTGCCAAAGTTACTGTAAAACTCCAGATTTGCTCCACCGAACCGTCGTTTTCCTCGAGAAAGAAAGTAACTCCATTTCAATGCTGACGAATTTCCCCTCGCAGATTGCGTTTTTATTAGGAGGATCACGGGCATTTCGAATTGAAAATTTTACAGATTTTCTTTCTGATCTCGTACAAAAAACGGATAAATGATGGAAAAAAAATTGCACGGATTCATTCTTGTAGAAAATTGAATTTCTTCGGTCTATTTTGTAACCTTTGAATGGAGTCACGTTATTTTGCCCGGGAAACGACAGAACCTCTGAAAATTCTCGAGATTTGGCAGCCTCTTTGCTGTTCCGTGAGAACTTTCCGACTTCCCAACCGTGACGAAGCGTGAATAATCGGATATCGATATTTTTCCGTTTGAAACTGCGGTAAAGGATCGATTATCGAGGTCTTCCTCGCGGGCAATCTGAACATCGATCCTTATCCACAGGTTTAAATGGTAGAGCGATCGATGTATCGCGAGGGGGGCGTTTCGCGAGACTCAGCAACGCTGCTCCGGAGGTAGTTTCTCGGGGGAGAGCATGCAAAAGCGTCGGAAGGAAAAGAAACTGTAAAATCAAATTTAATGAGATTGTGAAATAAAATACCGGGAGCAAGGGAGGTCGCGAGGGAGGGGAGCGGGTTAAGGGTGTTGAAGCTCAGCTCGCAGCGCTCCGGAGGGAGAGTTGATCGTGGAGCGTCGTTCCCGATGGCCTATGCTTTTGCACGGCGCATGCATGTTATTAACGGAGATACTTGTTTTGCAAGTTGCGTTGTGTGGATCGAAGGCGAATAGCTGTTTTACGAAGTAGTAGGTCAGTAGATAGGGTGTGAATGAGTGAGTAAGGTGGTCCTTATTTTGGACTTTTGAGAAATGGAGATGTTGCATGTGTGAGGAATTTGCGATTTGACTGTTGATTATTCTTATGTAAAAGTTCGCGAGAAACACGATGGTCCCACTGGTTTTTTCTGAAATTAACTCCCGAGCTCAAAAAAAGATCTCAACTTGAGGCCAACATGGAGGGGGTATCCCACGTTATCCTGAGAGTCCACCTCTACATCAAGACAAACTCTCCATGCAAAGTTAGGGAGCAAATACATTGACAGGGCTGCCACTTTATTTGGGGACTCCAAAACTGAAAACATGGCAACCATGGAGAGTTTGTCTTGATGTAGAGGTGAACTCTCAGGATAGCGTGGGACATCCCCTCCATTTTGGCCTCAACTTGAGAGCTTTCTTTGAGCTTAGGAGATGATTTCAGAGAAAACCAGTGGCACCATCGTGTTTCTCACAAACTTTTACATAAGAATCAACAGTCAAACCGCGAATTCCTCACACATGCAACATCTCCATTCTAAGGTTAGAACCCTGCTATCGGTTCCTTTTTATATAAAAATAACGGGGGGGGGGGGGGGGGGATTCAACAATTTTTTTACCCATGTCGCAATGGCACCACTTTACAACGGACCGGTGACTCCTACATTCAACTATCCGTAGTCAGCGAGTGATCCTAGCTTATCTTAAGTGGGAGTAAATTTCAGTAATTTGCAATGCGTGAATCGTGTCTTACGTGAAAGTTTTATAAAGACTCATGCATTAGAATGCTTCAATAAGCCAGCTGCACTGGTTACAGAGTCGCATTTTGATGCTTTATTCTTGTAGATTAGCTACAAATAATAAAATCTGTCCGAACAGCAACTTTCTACGTTGAATATTGACCGAGATATGGCGCCTTGAAGAACCTGATTTATGACGTCATCCACCGCGGTAGTATATAACATGTTATGCACTACCACGGTGGATGACGTCAAAAACTCGTCTTTTTAAAGGGACGATGACTCGGTTTGTATTCAACGTAGGAAATTGCTGTTTGGGCGGATCTTATTTTTAGCTAATCTACAAGAATCAAGCATCAAAATACGACTCTGTTACCAGCGCAATTGACTCATTCGCATGACTCCAGCGCAACAACTTTTTAGTGCAAAATTTGATTTAAGTAGAGTTTTTCTTTTGTGAACGGAGAATTCAAAATCCCGAGATCAATACCAACTAAAAAAGTTAATAACATAATTAAGGGTTGATTTCAGTGATTCTCGTCGCGCGAATCATATTCTTCCTGAAATTTTGAAGAGGAATCATATGCATCAGAATACTTTATCTCGCACTTTGTCTAGTGGCTCATTTCTGAATGCGTAGATCGGGCAGTTTTTTGCCGAATGGTGACATAGCAATAAAGCTACGTTTTTAATGATTTTTAATGGACTACGAGACTGGTCAATAATTAGACGTCTTCCAAGTAGCATAGATTTTAATTAAGTGCAATTGCATGGTAAAATTAGTACTATTCTGCCGCAGTGTTATGTATGTTGCCTATTTACAGATTGAAGGGGCTCCTCTTGTTGAAATTATTTGCAATTAAATTAGTTACAATATTTTAAATGGCGAATGGGCCTGTTGCAAAATTTTGCCTGAGCAAAAATAAGAGTTGTTTCCTATAGATAATGCCTCAAAAATCACGATGAGCGCATCGGCGAAGTCTGAAATGCACTCATAACTTCACAATCTGCGTAAGAAATTTGCGTTTTTTTGAGCTTCCCGCTTCAA